ATAAAGTAAGAACTTCTAAGTTGCCAAATAAAAGGAGATGGTATAATTTAATCGATGTAACCATAGAGATAGTCTTTATGTACTTTCATCTTCATTGCAAAGAAAGAGTCTGGCTTGTTTTAGTTTATACTCATTATTAAATGCAAACTTTTTTAAATCGTAATTTTGCGTATGACGTAATCAGGGGCGCTAGAGCGTGGCCACAATAAACTCTCGTATCGGTTGCAAGACAAACAACCGCGGGCGAGAGGGTGCAACCCTACGGATCAGTCGCTAACGTAAGCAGTTATGTTATTATCTTTACCTTGTTTTTTTAGACAAAAAAAGGGATTTTAAAATATGGTATTTATAGAGGAACAAAAAAATTGTTAGATATTCGAATATTATCCTTACTCTCTTCCAGTTATGATTTTATGATAAAAGCAGGTAGTAGAACATATAAGATTCAAAATAAGTTCAAAGTTCGCTGTTGTTTTATACTAAGTAAAATATTGTGTGATTAGGTACACTCTCAACTGACTTCCTACTTGTTCCATAATTTAAATAATCAATCATCAAAAATAAATATCAACTATTCAAGTAATTATTTAATACAAAGTTCTAATATATTAAAATCAAATTTGATTCTGAGTTTAATTCCCACACAGTACAAAATTTTACGTGATCATAAAATAACTGTCCCACATCAAGAACACCTAGATGTACGTGGGACACAGAATTCTTTTCCTATTTCGACAGTTTATAAAAAAATGATAATCGACAGTGTACATAATGAACACTTAAACTTACACTGGTAATGGACCATGAAAAAGAGAGCTACCTGTATCGAATTAAAAGTAAGTTTAAACCGACCTTTATAAAACAACAAATATTTCGGTTAAGTTTTCTACGTTAGGTATAGAATACATTTAAAAAAAAATGAGAAAATATGAAAAAGGTGTACATAGAAAGTAAGAGCACACGTTGAAGCTTTGAAGCTAATAAAGTAAAAATTGAACTCAGTTCAAATACCGAAAAAAATATTAAGAACCGAGCTGGCCTATAGAAAATTATGATTACAAAATAAATTCAAAAACATATAAAAATTAAAAGGGCTTGAGTATTTCTTTTAGTAAGCACATTAAAAATCACAGCTCATAAATTTAAATCCAAATATTTTTTTAGGTAAATATTACTGAAAACTATAATATAATTTAATATTATATTAGGTATAATTTATAACTAAACCCAACCCTACGTTATAGTAGGTAAAATAAGAAAAACCCGTCACTACGATAACGTCACCTCACACGATTGAACGCGCGCGCGTGCGTTTGATTGATACGCCTTATCGGAGCGTTGCACGTCGGGCCCACGCGACCCCACCGATCCCGGCCTGTACGCCACAGATACTACAGCTTTGTACAACCACAGGAAATAGAAAACAGAAAAGGATACGGATATGACGTATGCTGTTTAACAAGATACATGTTAGTAAAAGAAAGCAATTTAAGAAAAAGAAAATAAGAAACTGTTGCCGATAGAACAATTTCGAATTAAAAAAATGGTTACCATTTTTTATTTTTCGTCATCTCTTCGGAGATCTCAATAAGGAGTCGTGGGTTTAGTTTTTGTTGAGTGCAGAACCTTATGTATGAAAATATACGGACACAATTATGTATTTGTTTGCTTTCTACGCGTCGAGTTCTATACCCTAGGTATGTCATATAGGTAGATACTTATATTATGAATCTCAGTTAATTTGTTTTATTTAGGGAAATAAAAGCGGAAGCTATACTCACATTGAGTTCACATAGGGCAGTCTTAACGTTCCAGAATATTACAAATATCATTTTTTTTTAAAGTGCAGGAAAAACTTAGTCAATGCATTTTCTTGTTTACTACTATCACTATGCAATGAATAGTCATTCGCAATTAAATTCTATGTATGTTCGAAGTCAAACATCAATGTTGCTATAATTTGATACTTTTGCCTATAGAAAGAGTAACCATAAAATGTTTATGGTATAAAAATTTCGCAATAACGCATGTACAGTATCAATAACCGCGTAAGCTTCTTAACCCTCGCATGCGGGACTCGGCTCTAATCTACTCGTCTGTGGGGCTCAGTGCAGCTAGTGGAAACAATTCCTTGTTTGGCTTATCGTATCATTGCCTGGGTCGAAGGGGAATTATCCATACCGTTATTTTTTAGTTAGGTATAGCCATATAGGTATATATTCATTTCGTTTTATGAGTATCTACGTACTGTACAAATGTTGAGTTAAATATACCAACTTTGCCGGTATCTATCACCACAACTAAAATACTTATGAAGTGTCTGCTGGAACACTTCGGATATTACGGATACTATATGAATTCGCTTCTGAAGCAAGCTTTAATTATTTTAAAAGCTATTAACAGGGTATGGTGTTCTGAACTGTAAAGTTAAGCTATGGTAAACTCTTGGTAAGCCAAGCCAACTTTTTTTATTTAATTATTCAAAGCAATACTAAACTGCTGAAGGTTACAGTCAGGTTTACATAAGTGCTCTCCACAGAGTAACTAGAGGTAAAACATTAAATATTGCCACTTAAGGCTTGCTACTGTATTATAATAGGTCCATCCATAGAGGCCATCGATCTCGGATAGCGCTCGAAGGTGTTTTCTAAACACCAACACATTAACATACCTCGTCATTTAATTATATGTCATTTTCCTCTTTGAAAATGTGTCTACCATAGAGAACAATCTAGAAGTAGGTACTACTCTGGAATCATGGTCTTTTAGTACTAGTCCAGAATTGACCCAGAACGTCATCTTTTCTAAAATTTAAGATGTACTACTATTAAAGTTGCTTGAAAAATTGGATTATGGAATAATCTTTACCATATTATGTAATCGAATAGAAAAATAAAAAATCTTTACATAGTGGGGCAATGTTTATCCAAATTTTTATAGTATATTCAACTAAATAGCGGCAATATTGTTGAATTAGGTACATTTTTAGCAATATTTTCTGTTAAAAAACAAATCTTTGCACACACAGGAAGTGTTTGTGATGGGATTCCATCTATTATCTATATGCACCCCGCCCACTCCTGTAGGTAACTGTACCTATACACCAGAATCAACAGCAAAATTATAGCCTTAATCACATAAACCATTCTTGTAAATATACTTACCTATATATAAACACATGTTTCACAATAAAAAAATTAAAACTCATGCGAGTATCACATTCAACCAGGCGCTTTTATTCGTTGTGCATATTTCCGAGCGATCAGTGAGTTCCCAGTTTATTTGCAGGCATTATTCTGCCCTAACAATGTATAAACACAATTACTCTGTGTAAACACAAGCGACGCCGGCGGCAGTCACATGTTGTGGGTGAACCCGTACACATGCCAAATATATTCACTTAAATAATACTCTTTAAAAATGTTTAAACCAAATACTCCTACATTTCTCGTTTTCGTTAAAAAAATATAAATTATACTGTAACACCAATTTTTTTTATGATTTAGTTATAATTAAAAAAAAAATATCTACCAATCTGCATGACACCATAAATGGCAATTCGATCTCAATATTTTTTGACCGAAATAAGGGGGAGGGGCTTGTGGTGTAAGAGTACTGTGACAAAATTCAATGTGTTCATTGTATGATTTTTACTATGTATAATTATTTCTTATGCTGTATCGGTGGCCAACCAGCATACGACCTGTGCTAAGCGATTACTAAAACATGTCAATGAATTAGTTATTAAGGATCGTAGTGAATAAATTGAGTTACTAATTTATTGGTTTAATTATATGATTAGAAATGTATCGATTTACTAAGTTAACTTGAATGATAACTTGTGCCAAATTCTTTATTTATAACACATGTAGCATTCAAAGCTACATGACTCGGTAGCAAAATCTGAATACATTTACATACGCGGTGTGATAATTTACTCAATAAACCAGTATTACCGGATAGCTCTCCAAAATGATTAAATGCCATTCTATTCGAACAGCATCAGCCTCGAAGATGAAAATGTATTTAAGGGGTGATTGTCAAAATATTTGTACTATATACACAATATATTTCAATGATCGGTACCTCACGATCACATCGTGGGTACAATCCGTCAGTTTTTTTCTTCCTCACGTCAAGGTGTTGCTTTCGACAAAGCGGTAAATAAAAAAATTAAAAAAAGATGTCTACAGCACTACCGCGTGGAGACGTGGCTAATGTGTAATGCGGTTGGCTTTTTGTCCGACGCCTTCGACTTTTTGTTTCTTTTTTTTCACTTGGATTCGGTTACGGTTCGTATTGATCGAAAAATCCGATTTCAAAATGGGTGCTCCAAGAGTTTTATTGTTGCCGTGATACGTTCTTAAACAATAAAAAACGCATTTAAAATTGAGAATGCAATTCTCACATGTCACGTTCGTAAATTGAAGGAGACGTAGTCGTGTTTTAGAAAAGTAATTATTCTGCATCGATTGGGTCCGAGAACGAGTGAGGACAATAAAAGACCTCATTTATTTTTTCATATAGAAACATTGGGACAGATTGTTAACTTGACGGGCGTGTGTCGGTGTTTGATTGAACTTACGTAAATGGTGATATAGTTTAGTTTGCAGACAAGAATAGAGCAATTTCGATGTAATCTACCAGACGTTTAATTTTATTTTTGCGACATTGACCCGAAAACAAGATGTCGTCACACGTTGGTATTGATTCCTTTCACATCTAGATTCTATCGAGTAAATCTACGATAAAATTTGAATCACTATCTACTACTGCTACCTACTAACTTTCACATTTTAATTGCAGTCAGTTCATCAATGAACTTGTTCGGAGATGTTGTACCTATCTCGCAATCGCGGCGGCATCACAAAACACCACATTAATAAAATATTTTCTTACATAATGGTGTTCAATAAAAATCTTTAAATGCATTTGACGAAATACTGAGAACGTATAAAGAGGTTACAAGCCATAACTTGGAAATAAAAAAAAAAACTTACAATGCTGTGTCGGCGCCTTCCCAGCGAGATAATCCTCTTTGCATATAAACTTGTTGTCATCCAAGACGTAGAGCTCCTCGCCAGTCGACAGCTGTTTTCTACATACGAGACACGTGAAGCAGTTGAGGTGGAACACCTTTTCACGAGCTTTTCGAACGAGGTCTGATGGTGAAATGCCATGGCCGCAACCACTGCATTTTGTGCCATAACGCCTGGAAAAAAAACTCGAATTAAGAATATATATGGACAATTGCAGAGATAAGCAAAGGTTTTGTTGAACTATCTAGTTATACCTAACCAATTATATCAGGCATACTCTATAGCAAAAATAAATATTGTAAGTTCCCTTGGTGAAGAATATTTGGAATTTAGGTGTAGGTATTTACAAGATTTTGTTTGCTTATATAAATGTAAACATATTACATTAAACTCATTATTTACTTAAAAAGGGTTTTAGAAGCATTGATGGAGTGTTTGATAGAAGCATTGACGATTGCGGTGATGAAACAATCATGGTAATATGAAGTCTTGAGTTCATTTAGGACATTAAATTAAAAATATGTAGTCGTAATTATAATTAGTACTTAATCAATTATTAATTACCACCACATAAAATTAATTATTGTCAGGAAACGGGTACTGTCGCTATATGTGGAGAAGTATGACACCACAGAAAATGAAGATTGCTTAATACGATATATCTATTTTGAACTTGCAAGCTTGATTTCTTAAAGACTTACCTTCAAATTGATGTTTTTAACTTGTAAAAATGACTTAAATAAAAATGGAAATATCATATTTAATATGCATTGATTTTATACAGTTACTGTAGACTAAACCTAAGTTGTGTGAGTTACTCGAGCTGTCAACATCGCGTATACCCACAAATTTCAAATTAGTTTCTGAAATCAGAGCGTTCAAGCTTATAAACAACATCTACAGTTTTGTAATGTTACTAGAAACGCCTGTAATTGGAAACACCTTAAATTTACATGATTACAGTTCTACATAAATAATCCATAACTTCATCAATAAACTATCTTAAATACGGTAAATTATTATTTAAAGTCCTACCTAAACTAACCACAAATATTCAAACATAGTCCTTTGGTTTAAAATATTAGCATGGATCATAAATTTCTATAAATTTATGGTCAAGAAATTGAAATATCAACACCTACATACTAGAAATTATAAATATTTTATTGATTACAGTAAGGTTAGGGATCACAGATTCGTATTCCCTAATTAGTGAGCATACGCCTTAGACACCAAGTTAATACATTTGATATACACCGATGACATATTAATGTTATGCAAATCACTATGATTGATGTTCTCAGGCCCGAATCCGGTCAGCAGTGAAGCTACATATTAAATATTCCAAATTCAAATTTTACTGTTGTTTTTTATTCAACTTTTTAATCCTTTACACTTTGTAATGGTAATCTGTGGCATAAAGCATTATGCTAAAAAAAAACTAGAAAGTTACATCTTTTATTTTCTAAGGTTATTCGTTATTTCAATTAAATAAGTCATCGACAAAAGTGACAATCGCTATCTGATCCGGAATCAGAGGAATTTAAATTGATTTATGTATACACATAGCTGTTTGATACCTTTGCACATTATACTATTTTCGTAATTCCAAATTTGAGTCAACCTCATTTAAGTTCGAGACTCGATAAATGGAAGGCCGTAGGACGCCAAGGCAGGTCCTCCAGGCAGATGAACTCATGCGGAAGGCGGAGAATTAAGACATTGTTAGAGAGTTTAACTGTGGACTGAAACAATAGTATCAGTAGTAAGTATTCTATCAGTTAATCTAGCTTTCATAGTACGAGCTCTGCTTAGTTGAAACTAGGCGGAGATGTGTGTTAACATCCGAAAATATTATTACATTATTGTTATTAAATCCGAATAAATATTTTACAAATACGTTATCTGTATGTGTGCACGTCAAAATCTCTTTTGTTATCAATGTTTTATAATGTACTATATTATTTGAGTTACAAACACTTAAATAAAATGTTTTCAAAGTTTCCCGCCAATTAATCTTGACCTTTTCTTCAAATCAAGTTTTTTAGAGATCTTTAAACGTTCTTACCATCGAGTTCAGTGAGCGATTATACAAAAAATGTCGGCCGTCTAGTAGCGGTCTAATGAATGTAAATTACTGTTTTTGATAGATTTAGGTTCTTGCGAACGGCTTTAATTCATATTTTATGACATTTTACTCAGACTAAGTGGGCTATCGGACCTTACTTGGGTCGTTTTGATGTTATTACCGCGGTACCGTTTGTAATCAGCTTTATTCAATAAGACAATATTATGATTATTTATATGTTACTTAAGTCAAACCGTCTAGAAATGTGGATTCTAATCTGTCAATATAAAAATATTAGGAAAGCAAATATTGGCACTTTTTGAATTTATATCGAGTATTTGGATTTTTCCGTATTTATTCGAATAAAATTCGTCTCATGACGTCATTTTCTTAACTCTCTTGATTATTCCGCATTCATCCGCGTTTCAATAAAGGCATGTTTTATAAGTACAGATTGCAAACAAAACTTTTAACAGAGCGTGAAAAAGGAGATTATTGATTTCTTGTTGCGTTGCGTAGTTGTGTTTACTGTGTTGGTGATGAAAAGGTATGAAGTTTGTCGGATTCTGTACGAGACTGAGATTTCGTCTTTTTTTTAATAATTGGATTTTATGTAATTCTTTGTCGTTTTATAAGTAATTGGATGATATTTATTAATACAATATTTGTGTAGGATGAATATGATATTGTGTTTAATCTCACAGTATTAGCGAATATTTGTAACTAATAATATGTGATTACTACATTGAATTCTTATTTAACCTAATTTTTTTTTACCGAAATACCTACTTAAGCCGTATTTAGCAGACCTCGTGATGGGAAGAAGTTACCGTTAACTATAGACACTGGTCTTACTACTTACGAGTACTACCACAAAAAAGTCATAAATCACTTGCGTCACAAATCCCGCACCACAAATATGAATTCATTTTTTATTTTCCTGTTATGCTAAATTATATGCTAGTTGAATTGTTACTTGTAAGAAATTAGGTGTCGCTAGCTTAGAATAAAGGGTACAATTTAATACACTATTAATCATAACAAGTTCAATTCCTGAAAAACAAGTATATTGTAACAATTGATAGAGTGGTTTATCCGTGAAAGCGTAATAAACAAAGAAAAATAATAAAAGGGGAAACTTTTTTTTATATTTTTTATATACAAATGCAGAAGGATCAACTAGTGGAAAGTGAGTACCGCCGCCCATGGACAACTGCTACTCAAGCGCCACGAGTGCGTTGCCGCCCTTTGAGTTCTGCCTCCCCCCCAAAGAAGCGAGGCATTGGTCTCTGGTAACCTCACTTGCTCGGTCAACTTGCTTAACACTGGATTTTATAAGACGGTGGTATCACACTGGACGAGTCGGACCGCATCAGGTTCTTTAAATTACGTTCTTGATTTTCAAATGTAACCATAATGTATGCTTTTAATGTTTGATTGGTAACACTTTTATTCACTGAAAACATTGCAATTAGGTTAATGTGCAGTTTACATTTATAAACTTGATTGCGAACAAGAAATTTGCAGCAATGTTGTTTTTATTATTATTTTATCATCACATTGAATTATTACTGAGTACATTTGCATAAACGATGGAGGGCGCATGAATAAAACATAAGCTCGGTTTGGTTGTTTGAAGCTGGCATCGGGCCATGTCATATTTCAACTGTTGACGCCAATGCGAGAAAAAAATATTTCAAATTTCAACAACGTCAGAGGTGCGGTTCATCAACTTTCCAATGTATTATTATATACCTAGTGAATCAGTTAATCGATAAATTCATGTATACATGTTAAACGTGTTCAGCTTAAAACTGATGAACACACACACACACACACACACATACATGCACGCACACATACGCACACACGCACACCCACAAATGCACGCACATATACACACGTACGCACCCTCACAAACGCACACACACGCTTACGTTACGCTCACACGTTGTCTTTATTCAGTTCACATTTTTGCTAAACTGATTCACTATTTAAACATATTATAAAAATCAGTCCCAAAAGCACAGACGATAGCACGTCGTTTACTAGGATCTTGATATATATAGATTGAGCATGTTATTGTGACGATTTCGTGAGTATTTTGGTCTACCAGCACCGGCTCGCCTATTAGAATGCAATACCTAAGTGCTAATATAGCACTCAACAACGTTTATTAGTGCAATGATAACACTCATATAAGAGCGAGGACGGTACATGACTAAACCGTTCAGAATATAGAGGCCAACCAATCAAATTATGGATCATTAATATAATGAAAATACATCAAAAAATACATAAATTTAAAAGCTTATAGGTATAGCATTAGTTTAGAAATGTTGCAGGCGAGCTGTCTTTCAATCACAGATTTGACCACAGATAATGTATATATGTACATCATAACATGAGTTAATGTAAGTTATGTTATGTAGGTAGGTAGTACGCATATGTATGATATCATCTCATATATAAATCTACTACAAAACAAGAAGATTATTGTTAACAGATTTGCTTTGGTGTTTTAGTTTTAAAACATCTGAATAAAAGCGTTTTTGGTCAAGTTTTTCGAGTTAAGTCTGGATATTGTTATTTCCGAAAAGAGAAGCCGTGTTTCATGATACAGTCACATTTATCCAGGCGTTAGAATGGATTCTAATATTATTAAGTATAAAGACGATAAATCTAAAATTTTCTAGTATGGAAAACTAGTTAGTACTTAGTTATAATAATAATTACTAGAATTTCAAATAAAACAGGCAGTCATGAAAAATGGTTCACTACTAATAAACGAATCAAGAAGTATTTTTTAAATATTACTCTATGTTACTCCAACACAAAATTATTTAGTCACTAATGACAGATGTCAAATTAGCCATAGAGCATTCAGATAAAAACAATAATTTTATCGTTTTATTACCAAAGTATTGCCTTTCTATTTACAGAAATTAAATAAAAAAATATTAAATAATATTACTAACCTGTAAAATAACTATAATTGATAATGTAATTCTCTTATTTAGTATCTGATGAAGCACTCGGCTTCATTTTTTTAATTGTACCCACGTCAGGCTGAATGTTTTATGTCCTGTGCCTTAGTTATATTTGCTATAGCCTCGAGGGCAACCCTTTTGATTTTTTAAATTACATTTAAGACAACTCCAGCTAAGGATGATTTACACAGTTAAAAATTGAAATATGACAGCTGTTTTGAGGTTATAATCAAGGCACTGCCAAAATTTACTCTGTCATTTTTTTAAATATAAAACATTTAAAGGTTATATAAATATTAACCCACCATTTCTTGTATGAAATAGCATGATAGAATAAACTAACAGTTATAAATTATTTTTGTATTTGTTCAATAACTTGTATTGTCATTTAAATGGTTTAAAAAGTATTGAAACTTATTGTGATATTCCCCCAATTTCCTCCTACCTTTACAAATAAAGTAACAACTTTGGTAAACATTTTGAGTGTCGATTCAAAACTAACGTAATAATGGCGGGGTGTCAAACAACGGAAATGACATCACTTATATTTAGGAAGTTGTAATGTCACACAAAATTTATTATAGAGAAAAGAACTTAATACAGATATAATATCATGAAACCACAAAAATTTCTTCTAAGTATAACAGAATAGTTTTGCCGTTTACCTCCAAGGTAGGCATCTAGTAAGGCATCTACTTACAGGTGCTATTTCTTAACTACCAAAATTACTAACTATCACTAGCTACCAAAACTAGAACTAACAGAAAATTATCACTACTTATTACTTTTTTTACTTAATAAAAGGTTATTGTTACTTTAAACAAATACATGAACATTTTCTCATAGAAATGTTTAAGTTAGAATCCTACGTGTGCATTGTAAAAACACACACATCGTGAACATCTGTCACACGTTCAAAGACAAAAAAAAAGAAACAGTATAATCTATTTCCATAAACATATCTCGCTTATCGTTATTATTATGCATGATCTTCCCACGGAACCCTAAGAGGTTGGTCAGTGCCAAATTAAACCATCAAGTCAACGGAAGTCGTAAGTGAACCGTTTTCCGCTCTTACCTGACCTACGACAAAATTCTTTTGTTTCGTTTTTTTTGACGCCATGATAATTTTGCCTGTTATTATTTTTAGAATTCTGCTTACCTATATACTTAATGTGAGTTCGAAATTTAAAACTAGATGATCTTTTCCTAATGAACTTTGTAAAATAGGACGTTAACTCGTAGGCATATAGTTGAGTGAATATTCGTATAATTTTATCCCCAACTTCTCTGCGTCTTATTTTTATAATGTCGTCATTGTATTTCCTCTCTCTTCATTGAAATGAAGCTAAAGTACAAACAATACCATTTAAATTAAACAGGCATGATGATACAATGCAAAGAATTTAAAAAAAACACTTGAAACCCGGGAAGAAAAAGGACCGTCGACTCGTCAAGTTCCAGATTTTTAGTTTGTAAATTAGTAGCTAAATACTTATTTTTTTAAATTCCATGAAGAGTGACATGTTGATATTTTAATTATTAAGAACTTACTTGTGTTTAAAAAAGTAATAGAAACTAAATTGCTGATACTGAAACTCGTTTGTAGACGATTTACAATTATGATTTATTGCACTAGTAATACCGTTTTCGGAAATGTGACTTTCACTGGCACGTCGTCTCAAATCAGCTGGCATCAGCTCGCTTATTTATAATTAGGTACTTTTTAAACTGAGAGCGCTCGTTTTATTTATTTTTTCTGAACTAGATGTTGTCTGTAGATATGTCATGGCTTTTTAACACCATCTGCTGATACATATATGGAATTGCCTATGTTAAACTAAAAATCTGACCAGTGTTCATATCTAGATTGGACTCAAGTTCGAACACAGGGGGACCTTTGTATGGAACCCACTGACTGAGACTAATGTGCCACCTTAAAGCTTAATGCCCATTTTGGATTTGAAAAACAAAACAATGTAGTAGATAATGATTTAAAAAACCCTGAATGTAAAAAGTAAAGTTTTCAAAATGATAGGCAGCAAAACTACATAAGAAAAAAGATAAATGATCAAAATCTAGCACTTTTCCATTTTGAACCTATGCCTCTCCACACGTTTAAAGGTTACATCTACTCATACTGTGTCTAATCCTAAACCTTGAAAACTACATGCCATTCTAAACTTTACAATAAAATAAATACATAACGTTTTATAGCGGTGCACAATTTACAACAATAAACTTGTTTTAAACATCCAACCTTGACGTGTTGAAGTGTTGCCAACACAAAATATTTGCATATTGTAGAATCAGAAGTGCATTTCTTTTTTCATTTTTACATGTTCTTAATTTAAAGTTAATTACACGGTGGTGTCCAAGAATATTAGTAACCAAATGAAACAGTTTTACAGAAAGTCACTTACATAATCCAAACTACCCCCTGTTTATCCCTTATTTTTTATAACTCTGTAAAGAGTACATAGAAATGGAAATAATTGATGGGATGTAATTAGTTTTCAACTCAATTTTTTTTCGTTAAGGATATTGGTACTAAAATTATGCGCAAACTATTTTACGTACAAAGTTGTGGAAATTGCTTAGCCATTTACAGTGAAATTTATTTCATTTTCTGTACCTACTTATGAGATAGGTTGTATTTCGTTCGAAGCCATACCTATTTAATTGAATTTTGAAAGAAAGCAGTAACACCTTTCAACACCGAACTATTTTTCGCTATAGTTTTGGAGCCTGGCTTTTTTGGCCAGGCGATATTTGATAACTTAACGATAAAGGTATTAACTTTTTATTGTAACTATATGTTTTATTTATTAATAATTGATATCTTGCAGACAATCAGTTTACAATGAAACTGAAATTAATAACATATAAAGGAATCAGCAAACAATAAATATCGTGGCATAATCTTAATGTTTTATAACATAACATTAAATAACCTTACGAGACTAAATCGTGACAAACATCTTTAAGAGATTGTAGATGTTGAAGCAATCATAGTTAAAAACTATACGGCCAAGTTAGATGTCTAATTTTAACAAAAGCACATTCATTGCAGCAGTTCTTACCAATTTTTTTTATAATAGTATTTCGAACATTTGACACACAACGCCATCTAGTTTCAAACTAAGCAGAGCTTGTATTATAATAATATTAGTCAATCTAGCTTTCATAATTATGAAAGCTAGATTGAATTCATAATTATGAAAGCTAGATTGAATGATAAAATACTTATTTACTTTTTTTGTAAATACAAATACATCGTACACAGAAAAAACCCCTATTATCTATGTTACTTGTGCCTGTTGGTCTACTGGTTAGCGATTTGATTGCTGACCCAGAAGTCGTGGGTTCGATGCTCACCCAGGATAAATATCATTGTTCTATGCCTGAGTGCAATTAATTTTTAAAATGTATGTAAATATATAAAAATGTAGAAGTATGTCTATTTAGAAATGTATGTGCCGAGTTGAAGACAATATGTACCTAGGTGGGACTAAAATATTATAGTAAGCAGATTATGGCGTTTAAAACGCTTTTTTCTACCCCTAGAAATAAAGTGAGGTTATAAATGTACTTAGTGAGTACATTTTCAAATGAATAAAACAACGTAAAAAATTGTCCGACCAGGTAAGAAAACCTAACATCTAACGACTATCAATCTCGCTTATGCCTTACATAATATAAATTTTATAGCAACAACAAGGCACAAACTACAGCAGTCTCATTATCATAAACATCTATTTAGCCTCCATCGAAAGCCTTATTCACAGATTGCGCTTGCGAGCGTTAAAGTTTTATACTGTACCTACTCATTCTAGCTTACCTATCATTTTTAGATGTACCTGTGCTTTGATAGAACATAGTTGAGAAAAGACTTTTGTCATTCGTAATCACACCTAGTGCATTTTCTACTAACTTCTAGACTTTCGAGATCCGTGTTCATTTTTATACATTCACGTGTTAATCCTCCCTCAAACAGACAGAGACGACGACCTTTTGCTGACTTTAATTTTTAGTCCATCCGTGTGGTGACGGATTATAAATATGAAGTGTCACCACCTCTATTCATCCCGCGGGTATCGTAAAAGCCGACTAAGCACTGCAAAGAGAAGGAAAAACAAACTCTATTTAAACCCATCCCGCCAGGGTGGTATAGTAAGCCCAAACCTCTTTTCTAAGGAGAGGCCTATGTCCAACAGTGGGCTATTAAAGGCTGTTGATGTAATGATGTGATGAGAATTTTCGGTCCAACTTACATAATATAGGGTAAATCTTTTAGCGTCATATTTCCAGGTACGGGTTCATATATTTTGAAATAAACATACCTACGCAGGTACTGCCAGAACACATATGTACATATTATAGATAAATTACACCCAGACACAGAACAAATGATCGTGTTCATTACACAATATTTATCCTGGGTGGTATTCGAACACACGACCGATGGTTTAGCAGTCAGAATCGCTAACCACTAGACCAACAGATCTGTGATAGTATGACACTAATTACACACCACATTGAAATACTGTTGGTGTAGTGTGACTAAATCATTTTATATTTACATTTCAGACATTTGACACATAACGCCATCTAGTTTCAAACTAGGCTCTTGTACTATAAAAGCTAGATTGACTAATAAAATCCTTATATACTTGTTTCGCAAATACATGCATAGAAAACATCCAAACAACCAAACAAATATTTACAGATCATAAAAACATTTGGACTGACCCGGGAATCTAACCCGAGACCTCAGCACGTTAGTCGCATACGTTACCACTGCACCACCGAGGCAGTGGTAATATTCAGGTATAGACAAGCAAATAAAGGACCTCATTTTAATTCGGTCCTTTATTTGCTTCCGTAGATTTTAACATACCTACCACCAGTGAAAGTTTAATACTTGTGTTAGTCTAAACATTTGCAAGTATTTACGAACTATTTAAAATTAATTGTAGTCTGTTATTGTACATTTACCCATTAATTTTTAAACATCAATCCAATTAAAAGAAGATAATTCGAGTCAACAGGAAACCTCAAACAATATCAGATTCCATCAATACTAAAAGACTTACCTAAAGAAATCATTCCTGCAAAACAGCTTGTTATCCCTAGAATAGCACTTGTCTGCAAGAGGCGCGCGGCAGTCAGCGCATCGGACGCACGCCGCGTGCCACGCTCGCTCCAGCACGTGAAGCAAGAACTTGTCCAGGATCGGCTTCTCGCAGCCGGCGCACGCCATTGCGCCGCCTGCCTCCCCGCGTCCTAGAAAAACCAAAACCCTGTTATTGCTACTTGAATTTCGAAATGCATCGAAATACCAATGGTAAATAATGGTAGGTAATCACAGTCAGACAAAAGTGTTTGTTTTTCTCCCTCCAGAGTACGCACAACATCTTTGCATTTTCTTTCTGTACTTAAATACACACATAACTCGAGCTTATTTAATGTAGTTTAAACTAATCTAGTCCAAACAGAATAAAAGTGCTTCAGTTTACCTAGTTTTTTTGGGCTACGAGAATGGTAGACTCTATAATGATAATAGTACTAGTATTAGAATAAAATATATTGAATACGAAAATATTAATTTCAAATAAATAATGCAGAGTTTTCATTTTAAGATTTATCGACCTCGAACTATGCACCCAGGACTTGATTTACCTACGTACGCATATGTACGCCATTTTCTTTTACTCTACATTAAACCAAAGCAAATGCCTGAATCATCATCATCATCATCATCATCAGCCTATCGCAGTCCACTGCTGGACATAGGCCTCTCCCATTGCACGCCACTTAGATCGATTTTTAAATGCCTGAATGTGACCATAATAATCTTTGTAAACATGTATTTACGTACTACCTAGAAAACAGCTAAAGCCCTATATACGCGGCACATAGGTACTCAATAGTTCATTTCGTCATAAAGTTGGTAGCACAGAACAGGTACCAACATAATGGGATTGTGTTTTACGATCGATAAAGCTTAGGCAGAATAAAGTTTTATTAGCATATGTTATTACCGGGTACCGGGTGCAACACGTAGAATATCGCTTGGCCGGTGAAGTATCTAGGTAGGTTGCATGCACCAATATCGTCTACCCCTAGTAGTCATAAATTTCAATTATAATTTTCTGCTGTGTATTAGTGCTTCTAGATGAGTTATGATGATGGTTGCCGGAGTTTAATTATTTCTCTTGAGCGTCTGCGCTTTTTTATTTTAAAGCAGTAAGTTAGTTCACCTGTCTTTAGTTTTCGAGAACGTTAATTAAAAACAAGTGTTATTAATTTTTATTTGGTTTAATGTCAATAACTCAAAATATTGAAGAATAAAAGACTCAACATAACAATAAAAGAATACTCAACAAAACGAAACAATAAAAGAAGAAGAAATAAGTTCTTAAATAGTATAGCAAAATGCTTTTGATATTTTGGAACAGACAATTTGAACGTGTAAAATATCTTGGACTAGGTACATGTGACGCCGCTGACAGTACGAACTCATGTAGTATCATAAGGGGTCGGTGGTTATAAGTGTCGAGAAAGTACCTATTTCAGCCGTAGGATCCTATACAATGACGTTTAATTTTTACGACATCAATGATTCCTCAAAAAGGTTACGTGTACTGGTAAATATCTTTTACTATTGACTCGTAGGTACTTCAGATTGAGTGAATATAATACAATTTCTCGGTTGACTACCTAAATTACCATATCGTTATGCTACATAGGTGTATATTCATAAAGCTCAACACCCTATTATATTTCTCATTTGTGCTTAATTTAAATGTCTGTTATTGCCTAAACAAAACACCTATTCAGGTCTAATAACGTAGAAATGTAGGTACAAGTGCCACAAAAATATTATGGTTACGAATACCATTCAATACAAATATTATACAGACGTCAACTTATCGTTGCATCGAAGCTAAAATTAAAAATAAATGTTTATACATTTTTCATGCAAATCTTTGACACATCACATTGTTATTACACGATATAAATACTAAATGACAAGTGTAGCGGGTGCCCTTTTAAAAAAAGAAAAAAAAAATTTTCACGTGACATTTATTGGCTAAATTTATGAAGGTCGCCGCGGTTTTACATTCCATATTCAAATCTGAACGTCCGATTGGTCGCGCGCCATTTCAGTTCGTTCAGAAATCTGTGACGGGTATAATAGCCGTTATGGATATTCGGCGGTGCGTGTGATTCTCCGGTTAAAATTTACCGCTGTCACGGTGTTTAGTCTGTGGATTTTGGTATTAATATTATTCTGACACTGCTATCTCTGTTATAGGAACTGGTTCCTAACATCTTGGGGACTAAGAATCAATTTTATTACAAAATACATTTAAAAATATTAAGGTTGGCAATATGGCGTGTACTCAGAAACTGATGTTACCAGTCTCTGAGGAATCACTTGAAGAGTAACAATTTAACTTACAATATTTTTCAGACCACAGATATTATAATAAGATAGATATATATTATGATAAGATATTATAATAATTATAATAAGTTCCCGTAGTATGGGTTTTAGTTAAAAAAGTAAACATATTTTTTTTTCAAGTACAAGTATACCTAACCTATAGTGAACAAGTTCAAATAAGTAAAGAACAAGTGTAAAATACGTAAAATTGATAATTCTATACTTTACTTTATACCAAACTTATCGTCCTCCTTAGCAAAACATTTAATTTAGTTGTAAATGAGCGTATTGTATGGAAACAAAGAATTTGTCAAGTTCATTGTTACCTGACATACCTACTATGTACTAAACAGGACAAACTTTAAGACTGGAAGTCATAAGTTAAGAGGTCACCTTAAGTCGAATACCCACTTATATTAAGAATATTTTTTTAACTTCGGTGATAGTATGTCAAGCATAATAACTTATAGTGACTTCCACATATAATGAAACAAAAACATATTTCAGTGCCATCTAATGAAGACACACCGAACTATGGAGTAACTACTAATCATGTATCGCGCAATTAAAGTTCTCATGCCGATAAGTAGGTACTATCCAACATCCCAACATCAACCTGGTGGTCATGCCTGGCGGGCCATGGGCCAACCCACGGCCCGGGAGGAATGATCATCGTCCTAAGTCGGAGGATCCTCCTTTTGTGTTCAAGGGACAAAAACCCTTGCCTAGACAAACTCCTCACATTTGTAAAATTAGTAAAGTAGGCATACAATTAAATCGTAACATCTCATTATATAATCCTAATTAACATTTTTTCGTAGACTTCTGTCAATAAATCGATATACCCAAAAAGAGAAAATAACAATAGGTATTACAATATATTTAAAAATTACACACATTATTACGAATTATTTTTTAACATTTAACAATTGTGTTATGTACAAGTAATTATGTTTTCGTAGCTTTTATATTCCTTCGTAACCTAAATAACGGGAAGATAGTGGCTTTTAAGGCCTCGATATCAAGACATCTTTAAAGTTGTAGGTCTTTGAAAATCTGTCTGATTTTTACATGAAATACGTGTCTAACTTATTTTATGACTAGATAAGTAATTCGGGTGTTAGTTGTCTTTGGGTAGGTTGGCATATTGAATACAAGAAAAAGGTGCATAGGTATAAGGGCGTGGTCTTTTAGGAGCTTGGTATTAAAACAAATATTTGGTTTCCAACATCTTGTGGACTAAGAATCCATTTTAAACAAGAGACATTTATAAATGTTAAGGTTCGCAATACGGCGTATACTCAGAAACTCTGATGTTACCAGGCTCTGACGAATCACTTGAAGAGTGACAATTTAACTTACAATATTTTTTGAGATCACAGATATATAACAGTAAGTGCAAGAAAGTAAAGAATGAGTGTAAAATACGTAAAATTGATAATTCTGTACTTATATTCCAAACTCGTAGTCCTCCTTAGCAAAACATTTAATTTAGTTGTAAATGAGCGTATTGTATGGTAACGAAGGATTTTTCAAGTTCATTGTTACCTGGAATACCTACTACTAAACAGGACAAACTTTAACACTGGAATTCATAACTTAAGAGGGCACCTTAGCTTAAGTCGAAAACACACTAACAACTAATCCTGCATCGCGCAATTAAAGTTCTACTGCCGATTAGTATGTACTAACCAACATTCCAACATAAACCTGGTGGTCATGCCTAGCGGGCCATGGCCTAACCCACGGCCCGGGAGGAATGATCAGCGTTCCAAGTCCTCCTTTTGTGTTCCAGGGACAAAAAAACCTTTTCCTCCGCAAACTCCCCACATTTGTAAAATTAGTAAAAGTAGGCATACAATGAAATCGTAGCATCTCATTCTACAATCCTAATTCTCATGTTTTATAGACTGCTCTCAATAAAATGATGTACCCAAACATATTTCTTTCCACTCAATTGCCTTGCACATAAATTGTAAATGTATACTGAAAAAGTGACTTATCGTTAATCGCATAAAAACTGCATGAAGTACTTGCTTGTAAATATCTATCAAAACTTTTTAAACAAAGTGTTAATTCGACGAGAAAACCGCAACATTTTATAAAATCAACATTTTAAAGTGAATAGGTTGTAGATATGTTTGTCGTCCAATTACTCAGAAACCGCTAAAACCAGTTTACATGTACACAAGGATCCGGGCTTACTAATGAGTACTTAACTTTATTTTACCGCAACGGTAGGTGTCTACAGCGGCGTCTAGATTTTGAATCTGCTTTTTTACAAAATAAAGCTCCATTTTAAAATAGAGTATTTTAATTTATGTAAAAAAATATGAATATGAAACTAAATACCTACGTATTTAGGAAATAAGTAATCGGAAAATATTTAATTTAGCTATTTAAATTGATCGATTTAATGTACAGTATTTTAGATTTACTGTTTTTTTATTTGGATAAGGCAAAACTTAAACATTTTTCATAAAAGGTGTAAGTAGTACCCTATTAGAATATAAATGCTTATCTACTTAAAAAGGAGAATTTGCAACAAACCTAAATGTAAGTAGCAACTAGAAGTAAAACATTTTTTATAGATGAGTTTTGGTCTGGTTTTGTTAAACAAAAAGGTGCTCCCGCCCTTGTTATTGTCTAATATAACTATCCTGTATTGACTCAAATAGATGAATATTGTATTCTTTTGAAAATAAATGTCAACTTATGGGAACACTAGAGTAATAGAACCTTCAATATCAGCTATCTCCCTCGCTGGTGGTTTTGAAATCGCATGTTAGAAAAAGAAGGAAGAAAAAGGTTAGTTGGGTTTATTGTCAGATCAAAATAGGCGCGTGATTTTTTAATCGATGAATGATGCTTTCAAAAGAGGGAATAGTTTATACTTAGAAAAAGAAAAGTAATGTCTAGTTATTAGCTTTATTAAATTTTAAATTTATAATTTCCTATACCCAAACCATTGTTATCAATCAACGTTTGCAAACGCACTTATTAAATGTATAATAATGCCGTTATTACAAAATATTAAAAGAATTTAATATTTAATACTTCTAATATCGTGCCAATAAACTTTGTCGATAAAAATATAAAATGCCGCACTAAAATCGAAAAAATAAGAATAGGTATTACAATTTATATTTTAAAATACACACATTATTGCGAATTCTTTATTTTCATTATAATTTAATAACTGTGTTAAGTACCATAAATCTAAATAACAATTTTTAACCATGAGAAAAAAATCTAAAAAAAGTCAATTGGCTTCACTTTGTTTAAAAATATATATATTTTTATAAATATTGTTGATGGTTTTGGCTGAAGTAATCATGTTTATTGTAGCTTTCACATTCCTCCTTAACTTTAATTACGGGAAGATAGTGGTTTTTAGGGGCTCAATTTCAAGACATCTTTAAAATTTTCTATCTTTGAAAATATACCTGACTTTTACATGAAATACGTACCTGTGTCTAATTTATTTTATGATTGGATGAGTAATTCAGGTGTTTGTTGTCTTTGGGTAGGTTGGAAATGTTTAACACAAGTAAAAGGTGCATAGGTATAAAGGCGTGGTCTTATAAGAGCTTGGTATTACAACAAATATTTGAATCATGTTGAAATTTGTAGGTAGGTGACACCTGTCACCTTACACATGGCGGTCTGTCACCATGAAGTCTATTGCAACCTTTTATTTTTATCTAATTTAAAACACTATAGTAGTGTTTTTAGTTTTTTTTTAAATGTGGAGTTTATTTTTAGCTCAGTTTTACACAGTTACTTTCAAACACTTATTTGTATTAAATATACACTATAGTTGAGGAACTTATTAAAAAATCTAATCTAAAAAAAATATCGCTTTCACAGTGTTTAGTCTGTGGATTTTAGTGTTAATATTATTCTGACCCTGCTATGTGTGTTATAGGAACTGGTTTCTAGCATCTTGGGACTTAGAATCATTTTTATACAAGAGACATTTATAAATATTAAGGTTGGCAATATGGCGTATACTCAGAAACTCTGATGTTACCAGTCTCTGACAAATCACTTGAAGAGTGAAAATTTAACGTATAATATTAACAAGTACCAGTGTACCTAAGCTATAGTGAATCTACTGGTTACTGGCAAGAAAGGACAAGTATAAAATATAATAATATTAAGTAGGTCGTTTTTTAAAATTGGGCCGACTTCCGTAAAATTCATAATTCTATACTTAGGTATATTCCAAACTCATCGTACCCCTTAGCAAAACATTTAATTTAGTTGTAAATGAGCGTATTGTATGGTAACGAAGGATTTGTCAAGTTCATTGTTACCTGAAATACCTACAATGTACTAAACAGGACAAACTTTAACATTGAAATTCATAACTTAAGAGGGCACCTTAGCTTAAGTCGAATACCTACTTATATTAAAAACATTTTTTTTTACTTCGGTGATAAAATCTCAGTGAGTTTTATGCTTTAACACAACAAAAATTTGTGGGTTCAAGCATAATAACTTGTAGCGACTTCCACATCTAATTAAACAAAAACATACTTCAGTGCCATCTGATGAAGACACACCGAACTATGGAATAACTACTAATCCTGTATCGCGCAATTAAATTTCTCGTGCCGATTAGCATGTACTATCCAACATCCCAACATCAACCTGGTGGTCATCCCTGACGGACCATGGCCTTACCTACGGCCCGCCAGGGATAATCATCACGTCGGAGAATCCTTCTTTTGTGTTCCAGGGACAAAAAACCCTTTCCTCCACAAACTCCCCACAAATGTTAAATTAGTAAAAGTATTAAATCGTAGTATCTCATTATACAATCCCAATTCTTATTTTTTCGTGGACTTCTATCAATAAAACGATATATCCAAACATATTTTTCCACTCAATTGCCTTGCACATAAATTGTAAATGTATAAATACTTGATTGTAAATTTCTATCAAAACTTTTTAAACAAAGTGTTAATTCGATGAGAAAACCGCAAAATTTTATTAAACCAACATTTTAACGTGAATAGGTTATGGATATGTTTGGCGTCCAATTACTCAGAAACCGCTAAACCAATTTACATGTACACAAGGATCCGGGCTTACTAATGAGTACTTAACTTTATTTTACCGCAACGGTAGGTGTCTACAGCGGTGTCTAGATTTTGAATCAGCTTTTCTACAAAATAAATCTCCATTTTAAAACAGAGTATTTTAATTATTGAATATTAGTCATGTAAAAATATATGAATATGAAACTAAATACATACGTATTTAGGAAATAAGTAATCGGAAAATATTTGATTGAATCCTCATTTATACAAAATAAAGCTCCATTTTAGAATAGGGCATTTTATTTTATGAATATTAGGCATGTAAAAACATATGAATATGAAACCACCTACGTGGTTAGGCAATAAGCAAAATATTTGCTTTACTTAAATAAGTTAATTGACTAGATGTACACTATTGTAGATCAAAGTCGACCACAGTTTCTTCATTGGTTTGTAGTATATTATACAAAAACATAAAATAATTCCGCCAAGTTTACCTAGGGTAGAATGTACTCGTACAATATAGACTTTGTTTCTTCCAAACTAATGATTAGGTAGGTATGTGATAATTATGGGCGTTGGTAGCGTACTTGCTTGAATAGAGAATGAAATCTCACTCGAAGTCATTCTTAACAAAAATATTACCTACTTTTAAAATGTAGTACTCATGGTTTTTAAGAATCTTTAAAAAAAGAAAATACGAAACTTGACAGATCTTGATGGATTACAAAACAACAAAAGTAACAATTATAATTTCAATACGAATAAACCACTGAGAACGACAAATCCATTGACTCCTAGAAGTCCCGGATTATTTTTTAATCCGTATTGTTCTGTATTACTACTGCCAGGCGGAGGACAAAAGTTTTGAATGTTTTAAAAGCGAGATAAGCGGTTTACTTTAGGTTTACCAGATCCCTTAATTTTTTATGATTTTTAAATGAATGGAGTAACTCGTGTTATTTTTAATGAAATATTATCTTAGAACAGTTGCCGTTGCTTTCTACGAAATGTTTTAAGGTAAATAAATAACTTGTGCATTCCTCATTTCCAAGTTATTTATTTCTTAGCAGTGTATAATTATTATATATATTAAAAAAAAGACGGCGAAGAAATCAGATGCCGCACTTTAAGAGCATTATTTAATTTTTAAGCGTTAAATAATAAAAAATTGGAACTAGTTACATTAATAATAAAAAATAGAAATTGTATAACAAAGAAAAACTGATAACGGCACTGGACAAATAAAATTGGAATAAAATTAAATTGCCTGGTATACGCATAGGTATGTTACCCCAGTAGGTAGTACCTATGCCTATGCCTTTAGTACCTACCACCGTGTTAGCATATAAGCACAAGTATGATCTGTTGATGATGAACGGTCACTTGAAGACGGGAAACTGTGCACATAAGGTGTTATCATTATTTTAAAAAAGACGAGAAGATAATAAATAAACAATATAAAATTTAAGTGAAGCATAATTTACAATATTGTGCAATTAAAACTTCGTATTCCTGTAGAACACATGTTTCCAAGAAAGGGTTTGTTATGTAAATGTCATATTTAAGGGATAGATATTTTTAAGTTACTTAGTTACTAGTTTTAACTTATCTACAAAACGTGAATTTGGCGATTATAATTCCGGGTATGCATGGTATCAGCACCCGGTTACTCTAGGGTCAGACAATCGTAAAATATGTTTTTATAAAATATCTTTAAAACAATTTTGTTCGTCCGTTATCCTCTATCACTCGTCAGTTCACTGCTTACTCCTTTTCTAGCAGTGTCCTTTTTTACGCAGTCCATCCATCTTTTCTTTAGTCGTCCTCTGCTCTTACGATTAAATCCGTACTGTAGTATAGTTTTTCATAATATTATTAAATTTTAAAAACAAAACTGTTGACTGAAATTTCTTAAATGTTGAACTGGTCGGCTTTTTGCGCTTAGGTACTTGAAAGTATGGGCACGCCGTCATTGCGGCGGTAAGACCCGTTATGGAGGATTGGCTCGAGAGGCGTCACGGGACCCTCTCATACCGATTGACGCAGGTGATCACTGGGAAGGGATGTTTCGGAGATCACCTGTGTCTGATCCGCAAGGAGCCAACGCCTGAGTGCCACCACTGCGATGGCCAGACCGTGGACACGGCTCTCCACACGCTGGCAGAGTGCCCGGCGTGGGTTGAGCAGAGGCGAGACCTCGTGGCGGCCATCGGAGTGGGAGTTCTCTCGCTCGATAGTCTGATTGC